GGGGCGGGGCCTGCCCAGGGGCGGAGGGAGTGGGGGCGGGGCTGTCCTCCCCGGGCGCGCGGGCGCCAGGCGAGTGAGCGCGGGGGCGCGCGTGCGCGGGTCGGGGAGGAGGCTCCCGAGCTAGTCGGCAGTGGCGGTGCAGCCAGCTCCCCCGCGCCCTATGTGAGGGAATCGGGGAGGCCCGCGGCGCGCCAGGGAGGGCGAGGCATGTGCACGGGCCGGGGGGTGCTGCAGCCGCCCGAGGAAGAGGAGGACGGCGGCGGCGGCGAGGAGAGCGGGGGGCTCGCGGCGGCGGGCCCGGGCCGAAGGGATGCAGCGGACTGTGTGTGTCTGGCTGTAGCTGACGCGAGGCGGCGAGGAGGCGCCGGAGATCCGCGAGAGGGGCGACCGGGAGGTGGCGGCGGTGGCGGCCGCGAGAAGTAGCAGCAGGACAGGCGGCGGCGGCGGCGGCGAAGACGGCAGCCCTGAGATGCCTTTTCCTCTCCAGCGGCCATGTTAACCAGGAAACCTTCGGCCGCCGCTCCCGCCGCCTACCCGACCGGTAAGGAGGCTCGGGCCCCGCACCGCCCCGGGCGCCCGCCCCCGCCAGCGTCCCGGTCCAGCCCTCGTGGCGCGGGCGCCCGCTGCCAGTGGGACCTCGAACAAAGTCTGCGCCAAGACTGGGCGCCGCGGGGTCCTCGGGCTGACGGCGCGCCCTGGCCTCGGCTCTGCTCATTGTTGCACGCGGGCCCGGAGCTCCTCCGAGCGCAGCCAGCGGGGCGGGGACTGTCCCGGGCCTCCCCCACCCGGCGCTCAGCAAGGCGGCGGCGCCTGGGTCGGCAGTCCAGCCCTTCTCCCGGCTTGGGCCGCCAACCCTGGCCCTGCCCAGCTCCCCTGCAGGGTCGTGAACTCGTTCGCGCGCTGGGGCCCGACTTAACTTTGCAGCCGCCAGAGCCCCGCCCGCGGGTGCGCGCCGGGGATCCGCGTCCCGGGCCTCCTGGCTCACCCCCCGGGAGAGCGGGCTTCACAGCCCAGAGGGGTGGGGTGGGGCGGGGCCACGGGGTCCGGGTGACTTTCTCCCCCTTGACCCTCTTTTGTCTCCTCCCGCGCGTGGGCTGGCCAGGCCGAGGAGGGGACAGCGCCGTTCGTCAGCACCAGGCTTCCCCAGGGCTCGGTGCGGGGGCCCCCCGGAGCGGAGTGGGGACCGGCCCGCCCTCCCCCATCGCCCTGCCGCCTCTCCGAGCCAGCAACGCTGCCGCCGCAGCCCACACGGTGAGACCCAGCCTACGGGCGGCGTGGGGAGAGGGAGGCGGGAGGGGTTTGGGGCTCCGACACCCGAACTTGTGCGGTTCTGCCGCCTGGAGAGGAGAGGGTAGTCGAAACGCGAGTGTCTCCACGCCCCTGGCCAGTGGCCTCTCTGGGACGCCGCCCTCTGGAACTTGGGCGAGCCCAAAGCTGCAGCCACAAAGAATGATTCGTGGCGTGGGCCCCTCACTTCCCCTCCGGAGCCCGCCCACCCCTGCGCTCTTCTTCCTCGGAACTTCCTCCTGGCCGCTTTCCTCCTCTCTTCCTCCTTTTTTTCGTCCTTGCTTCCCAGAGCGCCTTTCCCTGACCCGGTAAACATCCCTCCCCCTCCGCCGCCGCCGCCGCCACCACCACCACCACCACCACACGTTGGGTAGTGGGTATTTATAGAAACAGATATGTCTTAGGGGACAGCCAGGCCGTCCTGCCCGGAAAATCGATCCCCCAAAGAGCTTCCCAGGCCTGGCTCCAGCCAGCAGGGAGCAGCGCCAATTGTCCCCCGCGTGTGGAAGCATGTTTTATGAGTGCTACAGGTTTGAGCACAGCAGAAATTGTAATTAACGTTAACGAAAATAAGAGCCCCAGCAGCAGTCACAACAAACTACCCCTGTAGGATTCTGCAGTTGGAAATTATTCAAAAGGAAAGGGCCAGCTTTGCTTGGGAGGGAGGTGGGAAGGGCAGAGCACCTGACAGGTGCTGTGGTCCCTCAGAGGGCCTAGAGGGCGAGGAGAGCCCAGCGCAGCGCTGGTGGCTGCCGAGATTGGTAAGCTGGACTTGACTTCAGCATGTACCTCTTTTCAGCTCCCAGAGGTCGTCCTTGGACAGAGGCTGACAGCCTAGCGGAGGTGTGCCCTGGAGGAGGTGATGGTTTCCCAGGTCTTATTTACCATTGGCTCTTTCAGAGGAACGGCTTAAGATGGTTCTGTGTGAGGGGTGTTTGCTAGGGATATGGCTTTGTTTGCCAAGTGAAAGTTGAGTTCTTGTAGAACAGGCCATTTCTAGCCTACAGGGGAACGGCTCTGAGGGTCATGAGTTATGAGGAAACTTGTTTATCAGGGGAGGATTTGTGAGAGGATGGCTAGATTGGAATATTTTCTCTTAGACCTGGACATCTGTGTACAGCTCCACAAGAGTGTTTTCTTGTATTTTCTCTTTCTTTCTCTTTTTGTCTCTCCTGACACATCTAAATACAGGGGCTGAGAATTCGCTACAAAGAAGTTAACCAATCTGTTGGACTGTGGTTGATGGAAGAGAATCTGTCAATAGGCTGTTGATTCTGTGTAATAGAGTTGAATGTCTCTCTCACAGTGACGTTTTAGTTGAGGAATTGCCGATGGTTTTAGTGTTTCAGTTTGGTTTGGAATCATGTGACAATTTGGAAAATACAACATCCAGTATTTTTCCATGTGGGAATGTAATCATGCGACTTGGTGTTGACCTGAGAAAGACAGACTACTTGGTTTGCATCTGGATCCTAGTTTTCTAAGGGGGGTTTTACTTGATCAGAACCTCTTTACAATTGAAATATGTAATGGGATGATAGAAAACGAATGATGTCTTCTGGAGGAGCAGCCCATCGTGGACCAGAAATGAAAAGATGAGTGGGTGCTTCTCAGGACTTCTAGAGATGGTGCTTATATTTGGCTGTGACATCTACCTGATTTACCTGTTTAACTTACCTAAACTTTAGTACACTGTTGATTATTAGAGGCTTGGTTTTGAAAGTGTGAATTTGGGTTTCAGTAGTTGTTTAGTTTTGATTTTATTTCCACAGCACTGCAGACTTCCTAGAATAAGCGACTAAAAGGACCACAGGGTTTACCTGGTGCTACTCTTTCATTTTACAGATGAGAAAAGAGTCGGACAAGTTAACTGGTTTGGTCAAGATTCCTGAGCCAGTTCCTATCAAGGCTGGAATTAGAGCCCCAGCCCTCGGGAATCCAGCTTGAACATACTGCTTGACACTGCTAATTCTAGAAAATTGTATTAGTTTTGTTATAAATGCAAGAACCTTTGCAGATCCATATTCCCATATGTCTTTCAGGTTTTTGTAAATTTTTAGTTTTTAATTCCATAGCAGTTAACAAATAGGGAGAGCTGTTTTCGGATGAGTTGGGGGAAAGGGCATTAAGGAGAGGAAAATAATCTTGTCCTAAGTTTTTTGCCCATATTTTCCCTTGTAAACGATGTAGTCAACAGATATATGACTATAAGGATTATAAACTTTGGAATTTATCTAATGCATTGCTCTTTTGTTCCCTATCTCCATGAGGATATTGTACACTTAACATTCTGTTAATTTCTGTTTGTCCTAAGACAGTACTCAATAACTATTTGATTCCCATTAGTTTTTTTCTTTTAAGTTCTGAAATACTAGTATTATATTACTTTCATAACTGTTTTAATGTTTAAAGCACTCTCCAGTTACCAGTTTTACCTTTATAAAATAGTTGGGATTAAAGAAGAATGAATATTCCCATTTAGAAAACAGTAATGTTTGGGAGAAGAAAAAGTAGACATTTCACTCAGGGCCACAAACACTGTGTCAGTGCATTTGAGGAGGAGCTAAAACTCCAATCTTTTTGGACTCAGTTCTAGTCCCATAACACTGTACAGCATTTGTAAAATGATTTCAGAGAAATTTTAAAATGCCCAGAAATATTAGCACAATGAAGTATCTGCTTTTTCCCCTTTTATTATTGGAAGAGATTAAAATGATCAAATTGGCTAGACTATTGTTCTTAACATAATTTTTAATGCTAAAATATTTTATGGTCAAAGAGGGCTTTTGGAGGTCTCGCTGCTTTGACCCATACATTATAGTATCTAACAGCTGGCACTCATTCAGAGTGTATTTTTAAATTTGACAGGCACTGTGCTGGGTAGGCACTGGCAAATAGAAAAAGTGAGTGAGAGGTTTTAAACATCCTTAAGTTTCTGGTGTACTTCCAGCATATGTATTCTGGAAATGTTTTGGTCTTTCTAGGGTCCCCACCCCCGCCACTTTTATACGTCAGTTAGTTGTGCTTCTGAGCCGGGTTGTGATTGTAGAGTCTTGCAGTCCTTCAGGCCTTAAATCCTCCTTTACTTGAGCCTCTCTAAGGAATCTCCTTAACGTCTGGAAAGTTTTTAAGATTCTACATGTCATTTAGGTGTTCAGTTGATCTGTTCTGCTATAGGTACTCTTTAATGAGCTATCATTTGCCTCCCAAGTTCTGCTGATGCACTGTAAGCCAAACATCTTGTGACTTGGGTCCCCAGGGACAAGTCCCAATTCCCTGGGTGTTAACTTCATGTTTTATTATGAAGGTCCAAAGGTAGTTCTCTAGAATAACTCAGAGGGGTGAGAGTTAACAAGGAGTGACTGGCATGCGTTCTTCCATTCAGCAGATATTTACAGAGTGCTTACTGTATGTTTGGGTTTGTGTCAGTAGGGACTTGAAAAGATAAGAGATGACCCCACCCTGGAATTGCTCACAGCCAAGTGGGTACATCAGGTGTGAAAACAGGTGAAGATGAACATGGTATTTGAATATATCAGTGCTCCATAAGCACAGTGGAAGGGACAGGGAGGTGAGTACTGAACTGGACATTGAAGGTTGAGTAGGAGTTTACCATGTGGACTTGGTGAGGAAGGAGATTCTAAGCAGTGTTTGGAAAGGACGATAATTCTAGCTCCCCTTTACTCAGTACTGTACTAAGGACTTTATACCTTTTACCTTTATTAATCCTCCTAATAGCCCTAACGAGGTAGCTGTGTTACTTTCTTTTTACAGATACGGACACTGAGGTTCAGAGAGATTAAGTAAATTGCCCAAGGTCACACAGTAAGTGATAGAGCTGGGGTTCATTTCCCATGTGTCTAACTGAAAATCCCTGGACTCCTAACCATTATGAAACATGACCTCAACAAAAGCAGAGGAGCATCAAAGAGCGTGGTGTCTCCATGGGTCCTGGGGAATCCAGTTTACTATTCTCAGAGAACATGATGGTGGTAGATGGTTCTGGAAGGACTCAGGTCATACAGGCTTTCCATTTTAGAACCTCATATTCTTGCCTGTAAGTTCTTGCATTGTCTGTGGGAATGGGGTGCCTTTGTGGTCCTTGAGCAAAAGCCAGGGTCCCAGAGTGACACTTCAGTGGTAACTCCAAAAGTACAGTGGAAAGAAGAGGTTTGAGGAATTCAAGACTTGGAAGCAAGGGGACATGTGAGGAGGCTGCTCCAGTTGTGGCAGTGAGAGGCCGCAGGAGTGCAAGGTGAGGCAGGGTGGATGGAGAAGAGTTAGGTGGAGAGAAACGATGGGGCCTGACGGTGACTTATGAAGGCCCAGGAGACCTGGAGATGGATTGAATGACTCTGCAGAGGAGAAGCCTTTTGTTGACCAGTAATTGAGGGTTATGGGAGGAGGAGATGGGTTTGGTAGAAAAAATTGTTAGTTGAGTTTGAGTTGCTTGTGGGAAAGGCAGCTGATCTATGGTTGGAGACAGGGGGTCTTGCGCTCGGGAGACATGGATTGGGCGGGTCTGAGCTAGAGGTGCGGATGTGGCAGATGTCAACCCCAGGGGGGTGGTTGCTGGAGCCCTGGCTGTAGTCATGGTCAACCAGAGAAAGCTATGGGAGTGAGAAGCCACGGGGCAGTGGAGGCTTGAACCCTGGGAAACCCTAGAAGCTTCCTTAGTTGCTGCCGTGGAGGAGACCAAGAGAAGGTTGTTGGAAAGACAGGAGGTGATCCAGTTAATTGGTAGACTCTTTGGTTGTGGTCACTCGGCTTTTGTGATGGTATTTGAAATTATACAGAACGTTAAAATTGCAATTGCAGAAAACTGAAGACAGCTTCTGAAGCTCAAAATATTTTGCTTGACCTTTTTTTTAGGAGTTCCTAAAGCCCCAAGGTTAATTTGTTCCCAGTGAAGCCTCATGCTTTTTGTAGCACAAGTACTGGTAATGTTGGTTTTCCTTCTGAAATCGCTCCTGCTACCCTGAAGAGAGTGGTGCTGTTAGGGGACATAGATTTCTAATTTCAGATCCTTTTATTCTTTGGTGCTTGAAAGACCGCATTGGGGAGGAGGAGAGGTGCAGAGAGTGAGGCTTAGGAACAAAAAGCAACAGACAAGCCGCTACAATGTGTCTGCATACTCGAGACTTTCCTAATTCATTTTTATGAACTGCTCTGCTTTTGGCATAGAATGAGGATAAAATAACCTGTCCAGCTACTCTGACAGAAGATAAGTTCTCTTAGCACGGAATATCGTCTAGGAGTTTAATAAAAGGGTTCAACTAGAAGTCTTCCAGAAATCTGTCTGTGAAATGAAATCCCTGTCTACGAAACCACACTTCAGACAGGCCCAAGTACTTTGCTAAATTCTACTTTGTTTTAGAAGATTGTGGAGAGAAGGCTTATTTCTCACATAGTCCCTGTGCGTGCTGTGCTTCAGTTAAAGGAAATTTGAAGGTCTTGGTCTGCTGGTAAGAAGGACTTGGAATTTCATTTTATAATCATGGTAGTCCCAAACCACTCCCTGAATTACGATATTAGATATAGAGAGCACTTCTACACTCCTGGTGATATGTAAAGCCCAAGAGGTAGGATTTAGAAGGAGATAACGGGAAAAATACTGATGGCAGAGGACTGCTGCTGATTGTCAGCTCCTAAGGGGTAGGGGCTCGGCCACACGTGTGGCTAGACCTCAGCTAGACTAGCTGAATGAGTGAGACGGATTGTGAGTGGCAAGGTGATCTTTAAGGTTTCATATAAAAATCACCTAGTGGGATGCTTTGAAGACTTGTGAGTGATTGTCTCAGGTTGGCAAGAATTCCTAACTGGGAGGGGATTGTGGCTGCTGGTCCTTTCCCACCCCTCACCTCTTGGAAATAGTAACGCTTGAACAAAATCCCAAGTAGATTCTCAGTACAAAGGCTGGGTCCCCTTGGCTTACACCATCAGTTCTGTCCAGACAGGAATGTTGGGGAGGCATGTGTGCCTAAAATAGAAGTCGCTACTTTGTATTCCTTGTTGGAAAGCTGAGTATCCCAGCAGCCTGAGGAATACATGTCTTGAGAGAGCCAAGCCATTGACCAAAGGAGAGGCCCAAAAGAGGGCTGCGGTTGGTTTGCTGGGCTGAATGGCCTTAAATGGTCATCACAGTCAGTGAGGCCCAGAAACTTAAAAATAGGTTAGGGGTTTACAAGATACTACAGTGCATATCTACATGGGAATCTTTCAAGCCTAAAAGTACAATGTTCTTTGCTTCTGTATCATGCACTTTCCCAGGTGTAATTAGTTTGATTTCCAAGTAGTGGAGAAGACAGAGAATGAAGATAGTAATGTTCTCAGAATAGAACTAAATATTGGAGAAAGAGTTGTGAACAAGACTGACACGGCCCCTGCCCTCAGGGTAATAAAGAAGCTAGTAAATGAAGTGTGAGCAGTGCTAGGGTCTGGGGGAGGGAGAGCCGGTATAGCGCCTAGAGTGGAACATCAGAGTGGAACATCAGTGATACACCAGGCCCTGTGCTAAATGTTAGATACAGAATGATGAACAAGCGACACGGTCTCTGCGTACACCGAGCACTTACTCTAGGGACCCTGAAAATCTCTGGAGCAAACTTTGTTAGGTGTAGCATTTGTGGGGTCCTATCTGGATCCCAAATTTCATAGCCCTCCCCAGATCCCTAAGGTTGTTTTCCTTGATCTTGTCTGAGGCTGTCAGCATCATATCCTTGCTCCCTGGCAAGGTGTTCCTGTGGTGCCTGTGTGTACAACGCTCTCCACTGAATAAATCTGATTCTGATTGTAAGGAGGGGTGGTGGGCACCAACTTATAAAATATCCCTTTTGAACAGACAGACCTCTTCCATTCTCTTGATGTTTCCTTTATGAATTCCAGATTGGCGGCAGTAAGCACACAATGAATGATCACCTACACGTTGGGAGCCACAGCCACGGACAGATCCAGGTTCAGCAGCTGTTTGAGGATAACAGTAACAAGCGGACAGTGCTCACGACACAACCAAATGGGCTTACGTCAGTGGGCAAGACGGGCTTGCCAGTGGTGCCTGAGCGGCAGCTGGAGAGCATCCATAGACGGCAGGGGAGCTCCACCTCTCTGAAGTCCCTGGAAGGCATGGGGAAGGTGAAAGCCACTCCCCTGACACCTGAGCAAGCGATGAAGCAATATATGCAAAAACTGACCAGCTTTGAGCACCATGAGATTTTCAGCTACCCTGAAATCTATTTCTTGGGTCCAAATGCAAAGAAGCGCCAGGGCATGACCGGCGGGCCCAACAACGGTGGCTACGATGATGACCAGGGATCCTACGTGCAGGTGCCCCATGATCACGTGGCTTACAGGTACGAGGTCCTCAAGGTCATTGGGAAGGGGAGCTTTGGGCAGGTGGTCAAGGCCTACGACCACAAAGTCCACCAGCACGTGGCCCTGAAGATGGTGCGGAATGAGAAGCGTTTCCACCGGCAGGCGGCCGAGGAGATCCGCATCCTGGAGCACCTGCGGAAGCAGGACAAGGACAACACCATGAATGTCATCCACATGCTGGAGAACTTCACCTTCCGCAACCACATCTGCATGACGTTCGAGCTGCTGAGCATGAACCTCTACGAGCTCATCAAGAAGAACAAGTTCCAGGGCTTCAGCCTGCCTTTGGTCCGCAAGTTCGCCCACTCCATCCTGCAGTGCCTGGACGCTTTGCACAAAAACAGGATAATTCACTGTGACCTGAAGCCTGAGAACATTCTATTAAAGCAGCAGGGCAGAAGCGGGATTAAAGTGATTGATTTTGGCTCCAGTTGTTACGAGCATCAGCGCGTCTACACGTACATCCAGTCCCGTTTTTACCGGGCCCCGGAAGTGATCCTTGGCGCCCGGTATGGCATGCCCATCGATATGTGGAGCCTGGGCTGCATCCTAGCGGAGCTCCTGACCGGTTACCCACTCCTGCCTGGGGAGGATGAAGGGGACCAGCTGGCCTGTATGATTGAACTGCTGGGCATGCCCTCCCAGAAACTGCTGGATGCATCCAAACGAGCCAAAAATTTTGTGAGCTCCAAGGGTTATCCCCGTTACTGCACTGTCACGACCCTCTCAGACGGCTCCGTGGTGCTCAACGGAGGCCGTTCCCGGAGGGGCAAACTGAGGGGCCCGCCAGAGAGCAGAGAGTGGGGGAATGCACTGAAGGGGTGTGACGACCCCCTTTTCCTTGACTTCTTGAAACAGTGTTTAGAATGGGATCCTGCGGTTCGCATGACCCCCGGCCAGGCCCTGCGGCACCCCTGGCTGAGGAGGCGGCTGCCAAAGCCTCCGACGGGGGAGAAGACGGCAGTGAAAAGGATCACCGAGAGCACTGGTGCTATCACATCCATTTCCAAGTTACCTCCACCTTCCAGCTCAGCTTCCAAACTGAGGACTAATTTGGCACAGATGACAGATGCCAATGGGAATATTCAGCAGAGGACAGTGTTGCCAAAACTCGTTAGCTGAGCTGAGTCCCCCGATGCTGGTAGTTCTGAAAGATACGACGTTGCTGAGCCTTACTGGGTTGAAAAGGAGTAGCTCAGACCTGTTTTTATTTGCTCAATAACTCGACTCATTTGTATCTTTTCGGCACTTATTTTAATGTAAGAAAGTTGTTCGTTTTGTTTTTATAAAATACATGGGGACAATGCTTTAAGTTTTTATACTTTCTGAAACTGTTTTTGTGTTCTAAAAGTACGATGAGCCTTACTGTATTTAGTGTGGCAGTAATAAACGTCAGTGGCAGGCCATTGATTACGTCGTGACTGCCGCGCATCTACAGGTTGGTGTCGAAGACATTCACTCTGTTTTCATGGGTCATAGTGTGTTCTCCCCAAGGTGATTGCCTCCCAAGGCCCCCCTTCTTGCTGCAGGTTCACGTGCAGGTGCAGCCTGTCCTGCTTCCCTTTTCCATGAGTCACCTGGGTGGTAGTGATTGTGGGAGGAGGAGAGGCAGGACAAAAATGAGAGCTTAAGAGAAACTGCACCTTACAGATTTTTTTTCCCTAAAATTAGCGCTCAAAGAAAGACAAAATAAAATCCCCAAGTGGAAATGCCCTGTTACCCTTCTGATATTCTAAAGTCCGGCCAAGCAGACCTGGTGGATACATGGAAACGTGTGTGTTCCTCCAAATTTTCTAATGTGATCAGCGAGCTGTTTCGCAAAGAAGACTCATATTGCAGAATTGGTTTTGCACCTAAATTTAGAAATGTATTCCATGAACTGTTCCTTCTCTTTGCTTTTCCCCTCACTGTTCCTCTTTCAACACCCATCTGTTGCTTACATTTAGGGTTTTTTTTTCTTTCAAATACATATCCCAGACTGTTAATACAGAGAGAGACATTTTAGCTGTGATTATGACCATCGTTTCATATTCCAATTTAAAAAAGAACAGCAGCCTAGCTCCTTAAGGTAGGGATTTCCATAGTTCCAAAGAAGGTTTAGCAGATTAGAGTGAGTTCACACTTTTCAGGTGCCGCGGGAAGGTTCTCTTAGCCTGGGAAAGCATCAACTCTTTAAAAAAAACAGAGGGGTTGAAAATCCTCATCGTGAACAGGAGTCGTGCTTGTTCAGCAAGGCCAACTTTAACAACAAATTCGAAGGAGGGAAAATTCAACCTCAAGTTAAATGGTTTGACTTATTCTTTGCATCATTAGAAGAACCACAGAAATTGCATTCCTGTGTTTTGTTTTACTTTCGTTTGGATTGCACTGATTGTTTTTGTGGGAATGACACTTTACCTGGAAAAGTAACAGAGTTAGGTAAAAGAATATTTTCTCTTCTGAGTAATACTTATTTTCACAGTGAAAATTTCAGTATTTTATCACTAATGTATGAGCAGTGATATATATCAATTTGAAGGCACGTGGAAAAAATTTTTTAGTATGTGCAATTTAATATAGAAAGATTTCTGCCTGTTTGGACAATAGGTTTTGGGTAGTATAAATTAGGATAAACACTCTTTTATATGCACAGATGTTGTATTGCCTGTAAATTGATTTACAAGTTCTTAAAGCATGGTCCCCAGTGAGGCCAAGAAAGTTTCCGGTTAAGTTCTTTTAATACTAATCCTCCAGTTTCTCTTACTTTAAAGAAAAAAAAAGTAGTTTTGAACGAAACACTTTACTTATCTTGAGGCTTTGTCAGTTGATGGTGGAGAAAAATGCTCAGGAAATATTACAGATATTTGCCAAAAAAAAAGTAGTAAGATTAGTTTATTAAGATAGTGATGTTGATACTTGCTTTACTATTTAAGGGTGTCACTGATAAACTGATTTGTACTTCTGTATTTAGAAATTATAGCTTCTTTTCCCTAGTCAAATTCTTTAGCTTGTTGTACACATTTCTGTGTAATCTGTGGAAGTGCAATAATATGGCAGTAAGTTGCATTTTAAATGATGCTCACGTGATGATACCCCCAATCAGTGGCTTACAGAATTTTAAAGATTGCGTATTTATTATTAAAATGTTGGCTTAAAGGCATAAGAAGTGTAAGACTCAGTGTGGTGGTTTTGTAAAACCACGAGCCTCTCAATGACAGCGCCTTTAAGTCATTAAAAGAAACAAAACGTAAAGGCTGTTTTCCCCTTGCGATGCTCCTCTTCTGTATCCACTCTAGAGATTTTTCGTTTTTAGTTTTAACTACATGAACCTGAGCCTGCCGTTAATATGAATTTCCCTATAAAATTATTATACATGTGAAAATTTATAAATGGATTAATCCTGCTTGTCTCCTCCCCCACCACACAAACCTGGTTCTTAAGATGCCTACAGTGCATTTGTGACTAATCTTATTCACAAATGTAACCGGAAACTTTTAAGCCAAACTATAATGTGCAGTGCTGTGGGGCTCCCCCCACACCGCACCCCCTAAATACAGTGAAATTTCCTTTGTTCACAAGAGCCGCCACGTTCAGTGTTTAGTGATAGAGCTGCGTTTTAAAAATTCTAGCTTAATTATAATGTCAACAAAAAAGAAAAATGTTGCATCGTTGTGATTTTTAAATCATAAATAAATGAAGGGCTCTGATAGGCTACTAGGAGTTGGCTTGGAAACAGTCCTTGGTCTCACAGGTCACCGTTGTCTAGGGATGTCTGAGCTGTTTTCAGATTTAGGAATAGCACAGTGTCGTCTTGTCTTTGGTCGCGGTCTCATCTGGCTCCGTTTCTTGCACCCCCAGAGTGTGCATTACCACTTCAGTGTATGGCTACAACAGTGGAACAACAGTGATGCAAGACAGTGTAGATTAACAGTAGAGGAGAAATTGTGCCCTTAGTGTTAACAATGTGCCTTTTGTTCTGAATGCCATGTTGTAGGGCGTGCATTTTTTGGCCTCTTTTAACTCTTTGAATACTAGGCAGTAAGGATGGAACCCATCTCTGCAAAGATACATCTGTCTTAAACATCCAGTTACTTACAGGCCTTAATAGAAACCTTAAGGCGTGAATTATCATCAGGCACCGGAAAAGGTAACCACTGGTTAGTTACACAGGGAATTCCTGTGTTTAAGGGGTTAAGGATGGTCTTTGTTGTATCTTAACATCAGACTGATTTTTTAAACAATTTTTTTTGTTATGCTAACACTAGGCAAAAATCAACTGTATTTGTAAAAATTTACCTCAAACCATTTAATTTTATAGTCTGATTAATCCCAGGGCATTTGGTATGAACCAAAGTGCATTCCTTTTATATGTGCCTGGCTCTAGTAAGGATGGCCAGGGATTTTTACAATTTGGGTGCAAGGCACTTAAGCCACTTTTAAACTTAATGGGTGGTTTGGAGTCATGTGGAAGGACTCCATCCGAATGTTAGGAAACACTAGGCATCAGTAGCATTGGGCCATATTGGAATCTTCAAAGTATGAATTATTTTAAAGAGTGTTCATTTTTGTAATTTTTTTCATCAAGAATATTATGGTAAGCAGAAGACTTTTTAAAAAATAAAACTGATTTGGTTGGTAAAGGTTTTAATATTGCCCAACATAATGCTGTGGTAGCATTTAAAAAAAAGTATTTGTGAACTCTTGTTTCTTAGGGGCTTGTACATCTCTCTGCTATGGACATAGATAAAATTCATTGTACTTATACTCAGCTCAACTGCTACAGTAATGTCTAGGCAGTGGCTTGGGTTTTTATCGAGCAACAACTTAGACACGTGACTGTAATATGCTGCAACTGTGTGTACTGAAAATATGTGAAAATGGTTGAATGTGGACTGTGTATATATGTATGTAAAATTTTCTGTGAGATGCTGCTGTCGCCACTTAACATGGAATATGTTCTAGTGGATTTTAATCCTAGTGGCCAGTTCTATGATACTGTATGTATTGTACAGCTGATGACAGGAGTAAGACTGTTCAGTGAATATTTGTTAAATTTTATTGTCGTGGCCAGAGATAATTTCAGAATAAAATTTTAATGTCCTACCTTACTTTTCTCCCCTTTTCTAACTATAATTTTACTCCTGATCTATTTCTGGTATTATTCTTGGCCTGGTAGCCTGGAGAGAGTTTAGAAAACAAGTATTTTCAGCAATCACTTTGTTTTTATTAGTTTATTATAAATGTACAAGTTCCAAGTGAGCAAGTTTTAGTAGGCGACTCTTGCTTTTCTCGGTATATTCTATTTTTTACCTTTAGTATTTCTGTGTGAGTTTTCCTGTGTAGAGTCTCTGCTGTGTTCTCTATAATGTAGCTTTGCATCATGCTAGAACTTTACATCTTTTCTTTTTTTAACCTTCAAGGTGATAGTTAAGCTGTGGCAGCAGAGCCTATAAATTATTTCCCACCAGTCTTCATTCTTTCTTCTACATGGGTTCTGGTAAATCATTCCTCTGTGCTCTCACCAGCTCCCCCATGTGCTTTTTACGCTTGGGCTTTTGCAGTTTTTGTACTTGGTGGTCTCTGTGGGTTACACTTTGGGGGTTTCGGTGGCTCTTGTCATGGCTGGGTCAGAAAAGCAAGCCTGTGAACTGCAGCTAGCTCACGACGTGTCAGGTTCAGTTAATACGAAGCCAGGAGTTTACTCACAGATGGCAGCGAGCAGGTGCTCTGGTGATTTGTCAGACATCGCAGGGACATTATGGCGACAAATATTTTCCTCTTGTGGAAAGAACTACCTCACATTTTTATTTACACCCCTCCTGCCACCAACAGCCGAAGAATTACTTGGTGTGGCTTCCTGCAGCAGAAGTGGGATTTGCTAAAACAAGGGCACACCGTGGGAGGTCCCAATCGCAGACATGGGCTTAGCCCGTCCTATGCCAGAGACTGCCAGAATTGCTTCTCTTGCTTCTCTTGCTCCTCAGAGTTCTTACACAGTGAAAAAAATACCAACCAACCAACTAAGAAACCCAATATATTTAGATATAAATTTTTAAGAGGTGTGCACCATGTATAAAATTGAAAGCTGATGCAAAAGCAGCAATTTAATTTTAAAATAGATTGTCCAGGTTTGACTTACTCAGAGCAGATTAAATGTTCCCACTCATTCTGTCACCCAGACTTTTCAAAGCACTTTCTTAAAATTGATTTATGCTATATTCCACTTGAATTTCTGTCTCTTTTCCCTTTTGGAGTCAACAACTACACAAATATTCTTGGAACTTCAAAGTTGCCTTCAAACTAGCACTGGGGGCTATTCCCAGCTGGCATTGGTACTGGTCTTTTAGAGAAAGGGAAATAAGTTTGATAATTTTCTGCTTTGGAAAAGAGCATTGAGAGAGATTTGAAGAAAGGGTATTTGTGGCTTTGTTTTGAATTACACTGTGTTTTTTCCTTTGGGCCATTAGGCAAATAAACACTTGTCATTAATGATGCTTAACACCATCCAAAATGAAGAATGGCCAGTGTGTTACACGTACATAAGAAAATTGCGTCTTACTGCAAAGGATTTGTTTATTTGGTTTGACTTTGACTTGTTTTGCTGTGGTCACATCCTTAATATCTGTGCTTCATTTCATATATATAGGGGGAGGGGACATAATTGCCACACCTTTGTATCTCAAGGAAGTTTACTGAGCAAACTAATGAATTAATATTCATTCCTCTGAAGAAAGCTGACATTTTAGAAGTATTAAGCAGTCATCCATAATAAGGAGCAGCAGGATATATTATAACTATCATGTGTCCCAGAGCATTGCTTCTTATGAAGAAAGCTTCCCAGACCTCATGGTATTGTATGAACATCAGTTCAACCTTACACATCCCTGTGAGCTGTAATTACCTTCATTTGATATTTGAGGAAACTGAAGTGACTTGCTCCAAAGTGACTTTGCAAAAACAGTTTGGGCCTCAGGTTGCAATCAGATAAAGAATCTTGGTCTTGGACAGTAAAGGAAAATACCTAATTGTCCATCAGGACCAAAAATTTATAAAGGGGAGAAAATTTGAGCTAACAGTGGGCATTGCTATTATTTGAATAAATTGTGTATTATTTTCCAGGAATGTTTTTTAAAAGAGGAGAAACTACAAAACAAAAACAAAAAACTGAGGATTAGAGCATCTTAATCTCTTTAGGTGCCTCTAATAACTAAAATGCATTGTGTACATAGCCCTCAGTTAATTTAAGAAAGAGGAACTTCTTATATTGCCATCTGTGGGGAGGTTAATTAATTATAGTAGTTTTATTTTTTTTGTTCTTGAAATAATGCTTTTTACATTTGAATGTATGAAAACATTTTTGATTCTACTAATTCTCAGGGATTTAAAGTTAAATTTTACTGACTGTAGCAACAGGTAAATTTCTTAAATTCAGATTTACTCAGGTTTCCTCTCCTTTGCTTCCATATTTAAGAAAACAGACTGCCTGCTAGGGAAATACATAAAATTAAAATTCCAAATATAATTTTAAAATACCAAATTGTAAATAAACCAATTTTAAAAACAAAAATACTGTGTCTTTCCTTGCTTGTTATCCCAAATTATTTTTCCCTCCTAAGTTTGAGGAGTTTTAAATACCTAGACTATTTCTTCACTTGAAAAAATGAAGTGTGTTATTTGCAGAACAAAAACCCATGAGCAGGCTTGGGTCATTTAAGTAAGAGCTTACTGAATTGCTTTCAGTTGTTTGGTGGCAAATGTGATCAGTGTACAAACAATTTCTGTAGACTTACAGGAAATAAGTATGTGTGTAAGTTTGGGCTAACTTGTCATCCTTTTATCTGAAGAGTGATATCAAACCTAATTTCCCCTTTCCCTAGAATTCAATTCATTGAAATTTTGGCTTGAGTAGACTGAAATTATAAAAAACAAAACAAAACAAACAAACAAACCAACCCAGACACCCATCTTATTAACATCTACTGCAGATGGCATTAATTTGTCAAACATTTATTAAATGCCTACTACATGCCAGGTATTATTTAGGCACTAATTACATATCTTGGTGAACAAAACAGACATAGTTCCTGTCTTTGCAGTTTTTAGACTGGTTGGGAAGGCAAGGTGTTACACAAGTAATTATATGAACAAATACATAACAGCAAATATAATAAGCACTATAAAGGAAAAGCATGTGGTGCTGAGTGTGTGTTGTGAAAGGGGGAGGTTGTGTTGTCTCATCTGATTCCCGAATGGCTTCCTTAGGAAATCAATAGCTTTTTGAGCTAAGGAAGGAGAGCACAGACAGAAACACTGAGTTAAGGAAGCAAGGTATGTGTGAGCAATTAAGGGAAGGTCCCTGTGGCTGAAACTCACAGGAACCTACAAGTATGAGAGAACTTGGCTGTGACAATGGGGCCCCAGACCATGCTAAGCCTTGGAGGTGCTATTAAAGATAAGGAAGAAAACACACCACAAGCAGATGGGCTGTTTTTTTTGTTTTTAAATTTATTTAATGGAGGTGCTGGGGATTGAACTCAGAACTGTGCACATACTAAGCTGGCACTCTACCCCTAAGCAATACATTCCCCTGCCTGCCTTTACTAGATCGTGCTGAGAAGGGTGAGAGTAGACTAAGACCAATCAGAAGTTTTTGCAAGAGATGGCAGATTAGACCAGAAGGCAGGAATGGAGATTTAAAAACAGGGAGGATTGAGTGAGGGAGGGTATAGCTCAGTAGTAGAGTGACCATCTAGCATGCATGAGGTCCTGGGTTCAATCCCCAGTATCTCCATTAAAAAATAAACCTCATCACCTCCTGCCACAAAACAAAAGACAAAAATAAGATAAAAATTAAAAACAGGAAGGATTGGAGGGTTTTTAGGATGCATAATATTAATGTAGAAATAATAGTAGTGTTTCTTTGTGCATTAAAAAGTAGCTGTTGCAAGTGAGACCTAATTAAACTTACAAGCTTCTGCACAGCAAAGAAAACTATAAGTAAAACAAAACAACAACCTACGGAATGGGAGAAAAGTTTTGCAAATGATGAAAATGGCAAAGGCTTGATCTCCAGAATATATAAGCAGCCCATACGACATAATAAGAAAAAAACAAACAACCCAATTCAAAAATGGGCAGAAGACCTAAACAAGCAATTCTCTAAGGAAGACATACAAATGATCAATAGGCACATGAAAAAATGCTCAATATCACTAATTATCAGAGAAATGCAAATCAAAACTATGATGAAATATCACCTCACACCAGTCAGAATGGCCATCATTCAAAAGTCCACAGGTGACAAATGTTGGAGAGGCTGTGGAGAAAAGGGAACCTTCCTACACTGCTGATGGGAATGCAGATTGGTGCAGCCACTGTGGAAAACAGTATGGAGATTCCTCAAAAGACTAGGAATAGACTTACCATATGACCCAGTTATCCCACCCCTGGGCATATATCCAGAAGGAACCCTACTTCAGAAAGACACCTGCACCGCAATGTTCATAGCAGTACTGTCTACAATAGCCAAGACATGGAAACAGCCAGAATGTCCATCAACAGATGACTGGATAAAGAAGTGGTGGTATATTTATACAAGGGAATACCATTCAGCCATAAAAACGACAACATAATGCCATTTGCAGCAACATGGATGTCCTTGGAGAATGTCATTCTAAGTGAAGTAAGCCAGAAAGAAAAATACCATATGAGATCGCCTATAATGTGGAATTTAAAAAAAAAAAAAAAGAACATAAATACAAAATAGAAGCAGACTCATAGACATAGAATACAAACTTGTGGTTGCCAAAGGGGTGGGGGTGGGAAGGGACAGACTGGGAGTTCAAAATTTATAGATACTGACGGGTATATACAGAATAGAAAAACAATATTATATTGTATAGCACAGGGAAATATATACAAGATCTTGTGGGAGCTCACAGCGGAAAAAAAATGTGACAATGAATATACATATTTTCATGTATAACTGAAAAATTGTGCTCTACACTGGAATCTGTAAAATGACTAACTCAATAAAAAAAGTTAAAAAAAAAAAGAAGCTGTTGCTAGTTTAGTGTCTGATTTGCTACACTGCAGCAAAAGGAATTAC